TGAAAAAGCTCACACTTGGACAGGACCTAGTGCCACTGATAGTACTAGTAGGTCACGATCATCTGGGATTTACCACCTTAAGGAGGAAGATAACCTTAGAGCCCAATTATAAGCTGCAACTAGGGAACTTGAGATGTTAAAAATGAAAAATAATAGAGTCACCCACACAGTTGCTAAGTTAGAAGCTCCGGCTCCATGTTTTGTTTGTGGGGGATTGGATCATTTAGCTCAAGATTGCCCAACTTATGGTGAGATGAGAGGGGTGTATGAAGAACAATGTAATGCATTAGGAATGGGTAGGGAACCTTTTTCACCCTATTCGGAGACATACAATCCTAGTTGGAGGAACCATCCCAATTTTAGTTGGAAGGCTAATCAAAACCATCCCACATCATCCAACAGTACTTGGAATAGTGAAGCTCAACCACCTAGGTCTTACCCTACACCTCAATACAATGCACGACCAAATAGGAATCCTTTAGAGGAAACACTTAAGGCATTTATGGAGGCACAGACTAAGACTAACCAAAAGTTTGATTCTATTCTTACACAGGTGGTTGAAGAAAACAAGGATATCAAGAGTCAACTAACCAAAAGTTTGATTCTATTATCACCCGCTCTAATCTAGGGAATTCCACCTAAAAATTTTATCCAATTGCATTAGTAACACTATAATTCAGCAAATAAAAAGGTGATAAAGTAATAAATTTTTAGAATCTAATTTAAAATTTTAAAAGTTTTATGAGGTAAAATTAATTATAAATAAAAAGGAAAAACATAAAGAAGGTATCACCTTTTCATCAAACAGAGATGGTGTATAAGTATTTTCCACAATTTCAGGACCGACTGCATTGTCTCCTATAAGCGTCTTCAACCCAGCACACTTGCTTATGGTGAACCATATAAGCTTGGAGAATTTAAATTTAGAGTAATTTCCATGACACAATCTTGCAAGTTTGGGAAGGCCTTCAAGTTCTAGGGTGTCCAGTTTAGAGAAGAAACTCTCACAGATCATTTCTTCTTCCACTAATTCATTTGAGACGATTACCTGTTCCATCGTCTTGCAGTCACAAATCTTGAGCACTACAAGTTGCTCAAAACTATTAACCATAGAAGACAACAATAGATATTTCAAATTGCCACAGTCCTTCACATAAAGCTTTTCCAAAGAGATTTTTGGAATTGAAATTTGCCAGATTTGTTGAATGTCAATTGAAGACAAGCTTAAAAACTTCAACTTGGGAAACCCAACCTGCAAAGAGATTTTTAATCGGAATAATAACATTTTAGAACAATATAAAATTTGTATGAGGTTAAACTATTGGAAAAATAAATGCAAAAAGCACAAAGAAGAAATCACCTTTTCATCAAATAGAAATGGTGTGTTGGTATTTTCTGTATGATAGAATCTTGTGAGTTTAGGAAGGTTTACGAGTTCTAGGGTGTGCAGTTCAGGGAAGGAAATTGTTTCTTCCTTGGATTCTTCTGAATCTATTACCGCTTCCATCATTTCACAATTACAAATCTTGAGCCATCTGAGTTGGTTGAAACTCATAACCATAGAGGAAGTTAATAGATATTTCACTTTGCCACAACCCTCCACAAACAACTTTTTTAAATTCTGTACAGAAGGAGAGATTTTTGAATTCTCTAAAGAGCGGACTTTTGGAATCGAAAGATCCCAGATTTGTTGAATGTTAAGTGAAGACAGTCTCAACAACTTCAACTTAGGAAATTCAACCTGTAAAGATATTCTTAGTTAGAATAAAAAATTTTAGAATCTAATTTAAAAACACAAAATCTATGAGGTGTAACTAATTGAAAAATAAAGACAAAAACAAAGAAGAAATTACCTTTTCATGGAAGAGAGATGGCGTAAAAGTATTTTCTACATTTTCAATACTGGCAGCGGGAAGGCACTCACTTATTGTAGCGTTGGAGTTTCCAAGATAGAATCTTGTGAGTTTGGGAAGTTCTTCAAGTTCTAGAGTGTCCAGTTCAGGAAAGGAAATCTCGCACATCCTTTCTTCTACCTTTATTACCTCTTCCATCATCTTGCAGTCAGAAATCTTGAGCACCATGAGTTGTTTAAAACTCTTGACCATAGAGGAGGTCAATAGATACTCCAAATTACCACAACCCTCCACAGACAAGTTCTTTAAGTTTTCAAAAGACATGATTTGCTTACTCGAAATGTGCCAGATTTGCTTAATGTTAATTGAAGACAGCCTCAAAAAGTCCAACTTGGGAAACTCGACCTGCAAAAAGATTTTTTAGTCTTTAAAGACAAAAGGACATTGTCAAAAGCTTGTTTTTGTCAGTTTTGATGAATGCCAATTGAAGATAACTTCAACAGCTCCAAGTTGGCAGACTCAGCCCGATATAATCTCCTTTCATATAAATTTTTATGCTTTGATTAATTAAACCAACAACAATGTAAGGATAATCTCAAAGCAAAAAAATGTGAAATAACATGCAGTTATTGTATGATATA